TTTAATATATTAAAATTAAATAATGTTTGTTTGTGTGTAAAAAACAGCTAATTCAGTAAACAGTTTTTTTTTTTATTTTGTTGGTGATTTCTTTTTGCACTATTTGTGTTGAATGTAATTATAGTCATGTTTATGTCTATAATTTTTGTGTGTGTGTTGCAGAGTCCTCGACACCTGAAACATAAACATTAATCAGGTTAAAAAACACTCTTTCTCTGTCCTTTGTGTTTGTGCGTGTGCGTGCGTGCGTGTTTGTGTGTTGTAATGTGAAGTGAAGCCTGGTCCAGTCGATGGAGGGGGGTGACTGACCTCCATGTGAGGGATTCAGAGAGGTGACAGCAATGTGCTCTCTCGTCCATCAGCGCACTAATTTAATTAGCTTAATTACACCGACATGAACCCCACACACACACACGCACACGTACACACACACATTTGGAGCTCCTCTTCTTTATAATCCGTGTCAGGGTGCAGACTCTGAACGCTTCGTTAGCGCTCACTAACGAGCTGTAATGACCACACACACACACACACACACACACACACACACACACACATTGTCAAAGAATTGCCAAGAAATCTCACCGTGTATCTCGTCACACACAAATACACATATGACAGCCTTTAAACAGCATACACAGTGTGTAGAATGTGTGTATTTTCATATTAGTGTTAAGTCAAATATAATTCTGGATAGAAAACAAGTCTATAAAKCTCCAGCACTCAAAGATATAAAAGATTAACAAATAATCCACTAAACTCTATTTCTTTAACAAATCATCCACTATTTATTTCGATGTTTGCCTAAAAGTGCATTACTGATTTTTTTTATGCATAGATTTTTTGTTGTTGTTTTTATTTGTCAGTCATTTTGTGAATATTTTAATATGTTTTCTGTTGTTTTTGTGCCTCAGTCTGTGACTGGTCAGTGCTGCAGTCTTGTAATCCTGAGGCCACAGGTTGCAGCCCTGGTTGTGCCAGGAAAGGTGTCTGGCATAAAACCTGACAAATCTTTCTTGTGAAGTTGGCTTACTGCGATGACCCGTGCTGAAGCAAGCAAACAAAAGAGAAAAAAATACCAAAATTGTCTTTGTATATTTAATCAATAAACACTGTTGATGCTTTTGTGTCTATTAATATTATAAAAACCATACTTTCCACACAATTAAAAGACTGGTCCTAGAACAGAGCCCTGAGGAATACACACTGTTACAAGTAAAGGAATCAGATTTTCACAAAAAGTAAATGTATAAATATATATTTGCGTGAGCCTTGTGCATTCAAATGCAGTTTAGTTGAAGAGTTGTAAAACAAATATTTCACTTTGTGTTGTGAACCCTGTTTAGGAGTAAGAAGGGCACTGGCCTCTGCAAAGCGCCCCCCCCCCCCCCCCCCGGAAACATAATACGCTGTTCGGTTTTGGTACTCAACTGTACTCCACCCCTTTTGGGACAGTACAATACTTAGGCCACTAGTTTGCTTTTTAATGAACTTTCTCACAATCGCAGCCTTCATATGAGTGACTTGATGCAAATATTACTGAAACACTTCATCAGATCAGACAGTTTTTTTCATCAAACGCAACCCTACGTGAAATGTGCTGTGAAGGACCATTTACTTTTTTGCTTTTAAATATTCTACCCTGACTAAAATAAATGGTAGCAATACATAGTACAACCTGGTAACTACCCAGGACACTTCCTATAAAGAGCAACTGGACCTATTACAGAACCCTGCAGAACACCAGTCCATAAATGTTTTCAAATGTTTATAGGCTAGAAAAAAAGGAAACRGAACAAATATTTTCTGTGCCATTGACCTGGTGGGGCAACGAGGCGTTGATGAGCACTGATTATAAACACCCTATTGATTCTTCTTTGTTTAAACTAAATCTGTTCTGACATGTTTCCACATCTGCAGCTCAACACTTTGACTTTAAGGTGAAACACTGCAGTGTCAGCCCTTCTCCACCCCCTCTCGTTTTATGTCTCATGTCTGAGGTTCAGCCCCRTCATAAATCTGATCAAAGAGGATACCTTTCCATTAGTAGGACTGGCAGGTTCTCAGAGCAGAACTAAGATTAATGGATAAAGTTAAATTTTGTTAACCATGTAGTTTAAATATTTAGCACAATCTTATCATAACTGTTCTTAACACTTAGAGTAATATACAGCCTGCCAGGACTGACTGATGAGCGACAGGACAAAAGGTTTCAGACACAAGTCAGTCTGAGTCTGAACCTTTTCTGTCAAAATTAACATTGTACCCATTCTGACATGCTGAACACCACCTAAACTCGACTTAACAAGTTGAACACCCTCTGAACTTGACRTAACAAGTTGAACGCCGCCTGAAATTGATGCAGTAATCTGTAGACAATCTGTACTGAATGTAACAAGCTGAACACCACCTGAACTCGATTTAACAAGTTGTACATCACCTGAGCTCGATGTAGTAAGTTGAACACCACCTGAACTTGAGATACTAAGCATAATACCACCTTAAGTTAACATGATAAGATCTGTACTCTATTTAACAACTTGAACACTGTCTGAACACGATGTAACACACTAAACACTGTCTGTACTCAACGTAAAATACTGAACACCGTCTAAACTCAATGTAACAGAATACAATCTGAATTTGATATTACAAACTGAGCACCATGTGTATGTGATGGTACAAAGTGAGAACTCAGTGTAAAATGCTGAACACTGTTTAAGTTCATTGTGTCAAACTGAACACTGTSTGAACTTGACGTACCAAACTGAACACAAAATGAACAGGTTGTAGCCAAGTAAACACCGTCTGTACTCATTGTAACAAATTGAACACCATCTGAAGTCAACTTAACAAACTGAACACCATCTGTAGTCGACGTAACAAACTGAACACCATCTGCAGTCGACGTAACAAACCGAACACCATCTGAAGTCGACGTAACAAACTGAACACCATCTGAAGTCGACGTAACAAACTACCATCTGAAGTCGACGTAACAAACTGAACACCATCTGAAGTCGACGTATCAAACTGAACACCATCTGAAGTCGACGTAACAAACTGAACACCATCTGAAGTCGACATATCAAACTGAACACCATCTGAAGTTGACATATCAAACTGAACACCATCTGAAGTCGACGTAACAAATTGAACACCATCTGAAGTCGACGTAACAAACTGAACACCATCTGAAGTCGACGTAACAAACTGAACACCATCTGCAGTCGACGTATCAAACTGAACTCTGAACTCAATGTTACAAAATGAACACCACCTGAAAACTAAACAGCCTTTGTTCTGGATGTTACGAACCAAAACTCAACACTGTTTTATTGTTTTCAGGAATCTTTCAGGCTGACAGCTGTGATTTTTTGATAAGTGGCATTTCTTCATTGTCTGTTTTTGTTTCCAACAACCTCACAATGCCGCAGAGGGTTCTTTAAACACTTCCAAGTTGCTTCTCTACGCTGCCCTTGGCTCGGGCCTGTGTCACCTGGCGGTAAATGTTTATGACCGGCTCCTCATTAAGAACCCGGGGGCTTTAATGAGCCCAATTAAAAGAATGGCTTCATCTGTGGGAGCATGAAACTGGCCAGTGTTTATTGGAACAGAGATAATAGTCTCTCCAAAGTCTTAACTCTCTTTTGACTCCACTCCTCAARCATCAGACATATCAGGAGGGTCTCCACAAAGCTTTAGTTTGACCTGCTGCTACCAGATTTTAGTGTCAGTACTGACAGAAGCTGCTGACTATTTATTTAAATGTCAGTTACCCAAAGCAGACTTTGGAGATCTAGATCATCCAAAACCTAGACGGTTGGTTGCTAACACAGATCGATTGTTTTACGTCTATGTAAACAGAATGAAAAAGGTGTGTTTCTGTCAGTTGTTTCTATTTGGGTTAACCACATTTTACAAATTTTCAATTGGGTTGAAGTCAGAGCTTTAGGAAGGTCGTTCCAGAAGCTTAACGTTAACTTACTTTATCCAATCAGAGACCAGTTCTGATGCTTTTTTCAATCAGAGTTTTTTTTTCAGGATTTAATTTAGCATCTGATGATCCTTTAGCCAAGAAAAGTGACATTTCATTGAATGTGAAAGTTAAATGATAATCTGTTTACCCCATAAAACATCCTCCATCTTGTTTTGTACTTGATCACTAAATTACWAAGCTAAAAATAGCAACCATGACTGAATAAAATATGACATGTAGGCAGCGGGACATGGACTCTGGACAGGTAGGGTAGTCATGGTTTAGAACTGAAGAAAACCTGAATCATCAGAGCTCGTCTTTCTGTTCTTATTTTGTGTTTGCAGTCGCCCAGAAGATCGTCGCCATCAGGAAAAAGCAGCAGCTGTCCATCGGACCCTGCAAGTCTTTACCCAATTCCCCGAGTCACTCATCTGTCTGCACCACCCAGGTCTCTGCAGTCCACGTCAGCCAGGTCAGAGGTCCCACAGGTTCATTGAACCTATCCAGTACTCCAGACTATCTGAAATCTTCACCCTTTGATCTTCATCCCTCATGCCTCACCCTCCAACCCTACACTGGTTTCTCATCACAAAACCTTCTCTAAACCATAGATCAGGATTATTTTCTCTTCACTCCAGAAAATGTCCCTCTGAGACATTTCTAATAGAGAGGTTGAAATAAAACACAAACTTGAGGCYGTTAGATTTCTGTTACTTGTTGTCTTTTATCTTTGTTCTTATCTTTGTTCTTGTAATGCAGACGAGTAACGGAGGAGGCAGCTTGAGTGACTACTCATCTTCAGTGCCGTCCACACCCAGCACCAGCCAGAAGGAGCTTCGTATCGACATTCCACAGACAACCAACACCCCCACACCGGTCAGGAAGCAGTCCAAACGTCGCTCCAACCTCTTCACTGTGAGTTTAATAACATTTTAGAAACCGAAAGCTACAGATCAGTTTTCTTAAGAAATGAKAAACCGGTAAGCAGAAAGGGTTCGTAAGCTTTAGATTTGGTCTGATAGTTTGATACAGTTTGAGTTTGTCTTGGGCAGGTSTGTGACAATCTGTATCAGTTCAGGTCAGTCTGAGACAGTTTKAACTGTCTGTTACAATCTTAAGTGCCCAATATGATCCATCCGWACTGCCAAAATTGTCTCTCATTGTCGCAACTGCCTGACAAAAATTGCGTCACTTTGTTCTCAGCTTCGAGTCTTCCAGACGTTCATGGGCATTTGTTTCTGCTGAAAGCGTTCAGATGCTGCATTTTGCTTTAACTACTCACTTCAGAATCCGACTGTTGTACCCAGAAGCAGACATTTATAAAGATAGACAAATGGCCCTAAACCCGTGAATGGAAATTAAACAGACGTTGCCTATTGAGGAATCTGTCTGTTAAAAACAGTGGAGTTTGAACTGGGACAGATTTGTGGACAAAATAACGGTGGTTATCAGATTTTTTTCTTTCTTTTTTTCGCTGGAGTGTAGACCATAGTGGTAAGAAACCCCGTGCACTGACGTATCCCGTTGCAGGAGGGGTTTCCCATGAGCTCRGTGCGGTGTGTCTCGGGGGTTATGAAAGGTGTGTCCGAAAACGAACGTCGAACAACCACATGACTGCACATCAACCAGTCGCTTGCCGATTGACCATATTGGGCGCTTTAGATGATCTGTGATAATCTGTTGGTTTAAGATGGTCTGAGACAGCTCAAGACGGTCTAGGACAGTCTTAGACGGTCTGTGAGAGTTTGACTTTCTGAAACAGTCTGTGTATTTTGAAGACGATAACAGTGATCTGTGGTGTTTTTGGTCTGGTCCACAGTCGAGGAAGGCCAGCGATCCGGACAAGGATAAGAAAGGTCTGGAGTCCCGAGCGGACAGCATCGGCAGCGGGCGAGCYATCCCCATCAAACAGGTGAGTGGGTTTGATGCTTCGGCCTTGAACAGAATCAAATCACACACTTGACATCAGAGCGAGGGTCTGTCCCGGGTCCTGCAGCCGGATCATTAAGAGCAGCAGAGCGAAGAGATTTTCCCTCTTCCTTCTGTTCCTCTCCCTCTTTGTTCCTTCAAAGTCGCCTCTTCTGCGAGCTGCTTGATCGCAGAGTTTTAGCAGAATAAAAGGACGTCTGCATGGTGTCACCTCACACCACGAGYTGGACCAGCAAATCAGGCAATTACAGCGGCATAATGGTGGCCTCTGGAGTCGGCGCCGCGGCCTCGGTTCTGATCTGAGTGGGAGGGTCGAGTGCTGCTGTCGTTTAGGAAAAGAGCCGACTGTTTCAGAAAGGCAGAGGTAATAACCAGAGAAGGTTTGCRAATCCTTCAGCAGCTTCAAACGCTCTCTCCTCCTCCTCCTGCTCCTCTTGGCTGGTGCTGTTTGATTAGAGTGTGGGCGGAGCYTCACAGACTTGTTATGTCCTTAATCACCTCACATGAATTCATTCTAAACCTCTGGATTCACTGGAAATGGATTCACTGGAAATCACTTCTTTTGGTTTAGTTTCAGTAAAACTTCTGGGTTTATTTTACTGAAAAGTTTAAGCTGATTCTGAACTCTTCTCTATTTTATTATGAATATGATTTACTTTGTTTTAAAAAAAACATTTAGTTTTTTTTTATTTATTCATTTTCAGTTTAAAACAAAACAAACCTCAAAACAACAAAAAAACATTTACAAAGAAAATGAA